TTCCCGCCTCCCCGCTTCTCCTCCCGCTCCCTTCCCTTCCCCTTCCCGCCCCCCCCCAGCCCCCACCGCTTCTCTCTGTTCGCCCCCCCCCCTCCCCCGCACGCTCCTCCCCCCCCCCGGCTCCCGGCTCTTCCCCTCCCTTCTCTGCTGCCCCGGTTCCGCCCGTTTAGCTGCTTGGCGCCCGCCCTTGCCGCCTCTCGGCTCTTGCCCCCCCCCTTGGCCTTCCCCGCCGCTCCCCTTTTCTCGCGCGCCGGGGTGGCGCTTTTGTGTTTCTGGTGGCTTCGGGCCCTGCCCTGCCCGGCTGCTCTCGGTTCGCTTGGGCCCCCCCCTCCGGTGCCCCCTCCTTTCCCTTACGCTCCCGTGGCCGTGTCGGCGCGCCCGCCGGGCCCCCTTCCTCCCGCTCAGCGTCCTTATGGCCCCAGCCCCGCCGCGCCCTGCCTGACCCCCTGCCCGGGGGCTCCCGGTGTGTTTTTTCGTTGGGCCTGGCGTGCCCCTGCCGCTGGCCCTTGGGCTGGAGGGCCGCCGTGTTTTCTTCGTGGGTGCCCCCTGTGGGCCTCTCGGCCGTTCCTCTGCCGGGCCCTCCCCTCCGGCTGGGGGGCCTGGTTTTGGCGCCTCTTACCTGCCCCCCCTCGTCCTGCCTTCGGTTGGGTTCCTCCTGTGCGCTTGCATCCCCTCCTCCGTGCTTCGCTCCTACCCTTTGCCTTGCTGCTATGGCTGCGTTGCCACCTGGTTGTTGCTCGCCGTGCTACGTGGGGTTGGTTTGCTCCTGTGCGCCCCCATCGTGATCCCTCCGCCCCCTCGTTTTTTCTCCCCCCGGGGTCACTCGGCCGCGGTTGCCCCTCTCCCCGCCTCTCCTCGGTTCCTCGCCGTCGCTTGTGCCTTACCGCAGTCCTTTGGGGTCGGCCCGGCCGGTGCGGTGGATGGGCCTGCTCGGGGGGTGGCCGCCTCTTCCCCCGGTGGCTGCCCCTGCTTTCCAGGCGCATTTTGCCGGCCGGCGCTGCTTGCCCCGGCCCCTCGGTCACTGTTTCTCCCCATCTGCTCGTTTTGTTATCGACGTCTCCGTGTGGCCGTTGTCCACGCGCCCTCCTTTTCTCCCCCTCACCCGGCACGCTCCGGCTGGGCCCGCTGGTCCATCGGCCCTGGGGGCGCTTCTCCTCGGCTCGTCCCTACTTTGCCCTGCTGGTCCTCGGCCCCCTGCCAGCTGTTCACCCTCGCGTGCACTGCGCCACCCTTCGCGGGGCCCGCTATTGGCCCACTCCTGCTGCGGGCAATTCGTCGCTCCTCCTCTTCTGTTTCCGTGCCGCTCCTCTTGCCCCAGCTCGGGGGCCAGCGCGCCTTTTCCCTCCCCTCCGTCGCCGGCCTCGGTTGGTGGGCCCTGCCGGCGATGGTTGGGCTGGCCCGCTCTCGGCCCGTCCCCCCTCCCTCCCGGGCCCCCTGCCTCCTCGCCACGGGGGTTGGGGTCCGCCTCACTATTCTTCTTTGGTCATTTGGGACCGCCGGTTGTCCGTCCTTCGGCTCTTTCTGGGGGACCCGTGGCGTGTGGTGGTTTGCCCAGCTCACGGCGCAACCGCCTTTCGGTGTCCCCGCATTTGCCTGTCCCTCTGGGCTGCTCTTGGGCGCGCCCTGCCCTGCCCCGCCCCCCCCTCGCCCCCCCCTCCGCGCCCCTGCCCTCCTGCCGGCGGTGTGCTGTCTGGGTCCCCCGGTGCCCCCTGCCTGGGCCCGCTTCGCCTCCGCTCCCTGCGCCTCCTGCGGCCGCCCGCCGCCGAGGCCCCCGCTTTGGCTCCTCCGGCTCCGGTCGGTCGCTCTCGCGCCGTGCGCTCCGGCTCCGCTTCCTTCCTTTGCTCGTCTTTTTGCCTTCCGCCGGGTCTGCCGGCTCCGGGTGGTCCTGCGGCCCTGGCCTCGGGGCTTCCTCTCGCCCGGTCCCCTGGTTGCCTGCTTCTGCGGGGGGGCCTGCCTTCCCTTTTGCGGCCCCCGACGGTGCCGCCGCTGCCCCGCTCGGGCCCCCCTCCTTCTTGGCCCGTTCTCTTCTGGCGGCCGCGTCTTTCCGTTATCCGCTCCCCTTTGGCCCCCGCTTCCCGTGCCCGCCCTGCGTGTTGGCTTCGTGGACTCCGCGGCCGCGTCTCTCTTGCCTTTTCCCCCTCGCGCGCTTGCCTTCCTCCCCGTCCCGGGGTCCGCTTCTCTTTGCCGGGCCGTGCCCGCTGCGGCTTTGTCGGTGGCCCTGGATGTTTTGCTCCGCGGTTTGCGCCGTCGCTGGCCGACGGTTTGGGTGTTCTTGGCCGCCCCGCTTCCGGCCCCCTGTTTCTGCTCAGCCCCTTGTCTCCCCCCCGCTTGTCCACCCCTTGCGCGCCTTTTCCCGGTGCTACGCCTCCGGCTCCGTTCCCGCATCCCCGGCCCCGTGTGGCTCGGGTGCCGGTTTGCGCTTGCCTTGCTCGCCGCCCGCGGTGCCGCCGCTGTTCTCCGACTTGGGCCTGCGCCGCGGCTCGGGGCCGTGGGTTTTGGCCGGACGCTCCGCGTCTGCGCGTCTCCCCCCAGTCCTGTTTGCCCTGCCGCCCACCCGGCCTTTGGCCCGTCGTTGCCGTGTCCCTGGGTGGGGCCCGCGCTCACCCGTTCCTCTCGGCCTCCCTGTGCCGGCCTCCCTGGCTCTGCTGGTCCCGCTCCCTCCGGGGGGGTCGGCCCGGCCGCGGGGCTCCGCTCTTGTGTTGGCTCCTCGGCCCCTGCCGGCCTCGTCCGCGGCCCCCCGTGCCCCGCCCGCCGCCCCGGTCCGGCCCCGTGGTATGCCCCTCGTCGGGCCCGGGTGGTGGGGCCGGGTTCCCACCTCGGTCTGGCGGCCCTCTCCGCTGGCCGGCCCCCCGCGGTGCGGTTCGTCCTGGTTTCGCTTGTGCTCCACCGCGCGCTTCGCCCCCCTCTCTTCGAGCGGCTCTTTGTGGGGTGGGGGGTGGCGCCTTGGCCCCTCCGTCCCGGTTGCTCGCCGGCTCTCCTCGGCGCCGCCCGGGGCCGGGCGGCCCGTCGCCTGGGCCCGTTGTCCCTCTCCGGCCGGTTCCGGGCGTCTCGTCCCTCGGCGGGCGGGCTGCGCAGCGCCCCGCTTCCGGTCTTTTCTCTTTCCCTGCCTTGGTTCTCCTTCTCACTCGTCCCTGGGGGCCGAGGGGGGCCCGGCTTGGTCCTTCTGCCGTGCCGTGTCTGGTCCTGGCGCGTGCGGCGTGGGCCCCGGCGTCGGGGTCCGCCTCTGCGGCTCGGGTGCTTGCTGGTGTCAGGCCGGTCGGCCGTCGGCTTCTCCCTCCCCGCCACGGGGGGGGGGGGGGGGGCTCCCCTCCTCGACCGGCGGCCGGGTGGTCTTCTCTCTGCCGCCGCTCGTGTGGCCTGTGCGGGGGGTGTCTCTCCCGGGTTCGCCGCCGGCTCCGTGTTTTGTTCCGCCTGCCTTCTCCTGTGTCACTTTGTCTGCTCGCGCCTTCCGCTGAGTCTGCTTGGCTTGCGTTTTTTCGCCTTCGTTTTACCTTTTGCTCCTGGTTTTGCTTCTCTCCTCCTCCCCTTTGGCTCTTTTGGCCTCCTGCCTTGCCGTCCCCTTTGCGCGTCCGCCTCGCGTGCGTGTTCCCGCTCTCTTGTGTCCTCTCCGGTTCTCCCGCCTTTCTGGCTCTCTTTGATTTCTCCGCCCCCGGGTCCGCCTCCGGGCCCCGCTTGTGGGTTGCGCTGCCCTCTTTTTCTCCGGCCCCCGGGGTGTGCCTTGGCGGTTGCGGGTGCTTTTCCCTGTCTGTTCCGTGTGGCCGGCCCCCCGGTGGTCTCCCGTCTTCCCGCCCGCCGCCTCCTGCTTTTCCGGCGTGTGTCCGTGCGTGTGCCTTGCTGCGACGGCGGCCTCTTTCCGGTTCCTGTTTTCCCTTGGTGCCTGGGCCGTAGGCGCGGCGGCTCTCTGGCTGCGTTTGGCTCGGCTCCTCTCCCCCTCGTGTGGCGTCCGGTTTTCCGTCTCCGTCCGGCCTTTGTCCCCGTTCCGTCTGCCCCCGTCCCATCTCCTCTCCTTTGCGTTGCTCCGTCTGCCGGTCTTCCGCCGCCTTTTGTGTTCCGCCCGTGTGGCTTCCGCCGCGCGCTTTCTGCGGGTGGTGCGTGCTCGCTGGCCGGTTCGCTGTCGCGGGGGCCCTCTGTTTGTCTCGCCACCCCCGTTGCCTCGGCTTGGGCCGTTCTGCGCCCCTGGCGCCCAGCCTGTCTTGGGGCTCTCTTTGTGCCGCTCCGGGCGTCTGCGGCTCGTGTTCCGGCCTCGCGCTGGCCTTCCGCCCCACCCGGCTGCTGCGCCTGCTTTCCTTGCCTCTCCCCGGGTGTTGCTTTGTTCCCGCCCCAGCTTGCTCTCGCCGCCCCTTTTGGCTGCCCCCCGCCTTTTGGCCGCCCGCCGGCGCGTCTCCCCGCCGTTCCGGCTGGGGCTCGCCCCTCCCGGTTCTTTCCCTCCGTTGTTCCGGCCCGTCGGCGCCCGCTCTCTCTCCCCGCGTGCCGGGTGGTGCCGGTGTGTGGCTCGCGGCTCGGCCCGGGCTTGCTCCTCCGGCGGTCTCTTTCTTTGCGCCTCTGTTCCCCCGCGGCGGTTGGGGGTTTTGCTTTGCCTCGGCTGGCCTGTGTCCCCGGTTGGTTCCCGCGGCGGCTCCTGCGGTTTTGCCCGGCGGTGCCTGCGGTGGCGGCGGTGCCGGCGGTGGTCCTGCCGCTGCCCTCTCCGCGTGCGGCCGGGCCGGCTGGTTTCTCGGGGGCCTTCTCTCCGGCCTTGCTGGGCTCTTCTTCCGGCTGCTGTTGTCCGTCCTGGTTCGGCGCTTCCTTTGGCGGGCCGGGCCTTTCCCCGGGCTCTCCCGCCCCCCTCTCTCGTCCTGTTGCCGCCGCCGCCGCGTCCGGCGCCTTTTGCGGCCTCCCGCCCCCTCCGCCTCTGCCCCTTCCGTCGTCCGCTTCTCCCGCCGCTCCTGGTGGTTCGGCTGGCTCCCGTCTTGCCTCGGGTGTTGTCCCGGCCGCCGCGTGGGTTTGTGGCGGCCGGTCTCTTCCGCTCCTGTGCTTCTCGCGTCCGCGCTGTGCCCCGGGTTGCGCTTGCCGCCCCGGGCCCTCGTCCTTCCGTTCGCCCTGGCTCCGGCTTCTGCCGCGGGTCTCCTGGTTTTTTCCTGCCTTCGGTGCTGCGCCGCCTGGGTTTCCGTGCGGTCTGGCTCGCTCTGGTGTTCCGGGCCGTGTCTCCCGTGTGGTCTTCCGTGCTTGTGCCTGGCGTCCCCGCGGGCTTCTTCCCGTCTCCGCGCGGTCTCCGGCCCGGGGCCCGCTGTCCCCGCCTCTGTTTGTGCTTGCCGCTGCGGTCTTGTCGGTGTCCCTTGCGCGGGTCTCTGCTGGCCCTCCGGTGCCCCGGTTTCCCCCGCCGCCCCGGCCCCCCCCTCTTCCCCCCTGGCCTCTGCGGCCGCTGTTCTTCTTTTTCGTCCGGCCCGGTTGGGCGCTCTTGCGGTCGTGCTTGGGCGTTCCCGGCGTCCGCGGCGCTCTCGGGCCCGTTGGTGCGCTTTCCGCCGCGTGCGTTTTCCCTGCCCCCTCGTCCTCCGGCCCCCGCGCTTGCGCCGCTTTGCCGGGCCCCGGCTGTGTGCCTCCCCGTTTCCTTTTCCCTCCTTGGGCTGCCCGGTGTCTCTCGGCCGTCCCCCGTGTCTCTCCTTTGCCTCGGTGCTTGCTCCCGTTCCGGCTCGCTGCTTGCGTTGGCCCCGCCGGCTGCTCTCGCCGGGCGGGCCGGCCCTCTTGCTCTCTTCCGTCTTGCCGGCCCTCCCGTTGCCCTCTTTTCGGCCTGCGCTCCGCCTCCGCCGGTCCTCCGGGCTTTGGCGCGCTGTTCTGCGCGTTTTTTCTGGCCCCCGTCCGGGGGCGCCCGGTCCCCCTGGCGTTCGTGCCCCCCTCTCTCGTCCTCCGCCGGCCGGGGGGGTGGGGTTCCTGGCTTTCGCCTTGCTGGTCCGGGCGGCCCGTGCTCCCTTGTGGTGGCCTTTCCGGCCCGCTCCTCCTTTCTGGTCGGCCTTTCTGCGGGCGCCCTCTTGCCGTCGGGTTCCCCCGGTTGCTCCGTTGGTTCCGCCTCGCGCTTCGCCCCCTGGCCGCGGCTGCTGGCGGTCCGTGCTGCGGTCGCGGGGGTTCTCCCTTGGCGGTTGTTCCCGGCCGGGTTCCTTTCTGGTGGGCCCCCTGGTCGGGTCTGGGCCCCCTTGGCCGGCTTTCTCCCCCCGGGGGGTTTCCTCCTCCCGGGCGTTCCTTCTCGCCTCTGTGCGGGCTGGCCCGCTTGCTTTGCCCGCCCCCGCTGCCTTGGCCTTTGCTGGGTTGGGGCGGCAGCTGTCGCCGCGCCATGGGGCCGGGCCCCGACGTGCTACTCCCCCTGACTGGCCCGGGCGTCCGCCGGTCTGTTTTCTTCTTCCTCTGCTCCGCTTTTTTCCCACCCCTACTGGCCGCTTGCCGCCGGCCGCGGCCCCGTCTCTTCGCTCACCGTGTTGGCGCACCGCCCCTTCCTTTCGGTGTCCTTCCTGGTTGGCGGGTGTTCCGCGGGCGGCTTCCCCCGGCTGCCCTCTGCCCGTTTCGGTCTCGCTCGTCGCGCGGTGTCGGTGTTGTCCGCCCAGGTCGCCCGCGTCTTCTGCTCCCCTCTTTTTTCTGGGGCCCCCGCCGCGCCTGCTTGGCGCTCTGTTTTGGCGATCCCTCGGCCTCTCCTTGCCGCCCCCGGCGTCTTCGGCCTTTGCTTGCCGGCTGGGGTCGGGGGGGCGGCGTCCCCCTCTTTTGTCTTTTTGTTGTTTGCCGGTTGGCCGTCTCGCTGGTGTTGTGGGCGGCTGTGGCCGCCCCGTCCTGGGTGGCCTGTACCGGCGGCGCCCCCCGCGCTTGCCCGGGTGCTGCCTGGGGTGGCCCCGGGGTGGCGGCTGCCCGTTTCGGCGTTGGCCCCTGCGCCCATCCTGGCCCTCTCCCTGGCGGCCTCTTGTGGCCTCCTTGGCGGCCCCTGTGCCGCGGCGTGTTCTTCGGCACGGTCCGGTGGTCTCCCCCGGTTGCCGGGGCGCGTTCCCGCTCCATCTTTCTCGCTTCGCGGCTGGGGGGCTGCGGCCGGTGGTGCGCCCACCGCGGGTGCTTCTGCTCCGGAGTTGCGTGGTCTGGGCCCCGGGGCGGCCCGCGCGGCCAGTTCCGGGTCCTTTCTTGCTCTGGCCTGGCTGTGCCCTGCCCGGGCCTCCTTTGCTTGCTCTCGCCGTTTTTTTCCCCCTTTTGCTTGGCGCGTTGGCTCGCTCCGTTGCTCTCTCTGTTCGTCTGCCGGTGGCTTTCTCGCGTGCTGTTGTGCCCGTCGCCTCCGGTTTCTCTGTGTTCCTGCGGGGTGGTTCCTGCTTCTGTGGGCCCGTCCCGAGGACCCTCTGCCTGGGCCGCGGCGCTTCGCTCCCTGGGCGGTGGACTCGCCGGGA